GGCTGCCCACCCTGCCTCCTCCCACGTGCTGCCCTTCTCCATCATCTCTTCCTGCAGCGGAGCAGAGCATGGTCCCAAGCTATGGGTACTCCGGAAAAGGCTTCCCAGGGAAACGGTGGAGTCACTATCCCTGGAAGTGTTCACAAACCATGCAGATGAAGTCCCTGCTGACATGGGTTAGTGGTGGCCTTGGGGTGATGGTTGGACTTGATGATCTTAAAGGTCTTTTCCAACCTGGTTGACTGTGATTCCATGACTCACCGAGGAGGTGCCGCTGCGCATGCTGCCCCGGGCCACCCTCTGGCGATGGATCTCCACCAGGTTATCGATGTCCTCCTCTTCCTCCTCCTGCAAGGAGACGGACAAGCCGTGCATGGGGAGCAGCACCAGCCAGGCAGCCGGCTCCATGGCGTGCTGAGGGTCTCACCAGCTCCGTGTTGAGGCCAGGGACCGACTTGCTCCTGTCCCCCAAAGAGCCGCCGTCCCCCACGAGGTCCTCGGGGCGCAGGTCGATCACCGACTTGGTGTAGTCTGCACAAGGGATGGTGAGGCGGGAGGCAGCGGCACGGTGCAGGGCGAGCACAGCCCTGCTGCTCCCCCAACACGGGAGCTCCCACCCGCACCAAAAGCCCACCACAGTGCAAGGAGAAGCCATGCCAGCACCCCAACCCCTGCACCGCACACAGCGCTCACCCGCCGGCCTCACCACCCGACGGGGGTTCTTCTTGAACATCATCTCATGCTCATCCACCAAGGCGCTGCTGCGGCTCCCCACGGCAGCATCCTGTGGAGGACAGGTCCCGTCAGAGCAGGCTGGGATGGGCATTCCATAGGGATGGATCCCTGTCTCGCACCCAGGACAGGGCACGCACCCGTCCGGAGAACACGTGCTTGGAGCGGAGAGGGAGGGTCAGGCTGGAGGCAGCAGGTCCTGCTGGTGCAGGAACCTGTTTTCCATCTCGGAGTGGGGCGGCTCTCTCCAGGGAGTTACTCCTGTGGAGGACACGGAAAGGTCTGTCCCAGGCCAGGGACAGAGCTGGGAGAACAAGTGCTGGCCAGGATGCGCCGTGACCTCCCCAGCGTGGGAGCAGAGGCCCCGCCTGCCCACAGACAGGCTTCAGCCCAGCTCCCCCTCACTAGGCTGAGAACACCACACTTCACATGAAGGTCCTTATCCAACCCACCCAGGGAGCCCCTCACCTGCCCCCCAGCCCACCAGGACTCGGTCTGTAGCCATCCAGGCTCATGTTTTCCATGGACTCTGTGTCACTTTTGCCATCCCGAGGGTCTGAAGCATCTGGAAACAAGCTGCAGACAAACAAAACCACAGGTATGTCCTGTTTGGCGAGGAGGAGGGACTGAGAGGGAGCTGCTGCAAGCAGTGAGCCGAGCAGGGAAGCAGCATCGCTCCCATCCCTGCGGTGGATGCCTGGGGCTTGGAGCAGGGCAGACAGCGGGATCCTCACCTGGGCCCCTCGCGGGGTGCTGCGGGGCTCTGCTTCTGCACTGGGGAGGAGCTTTTGGGCTCACCAAGCTGGGCCTTCTGGAGGAGGGTTTGTCCCACGGTCTCCCTTTTGCTGGCTGGAAGGAGAGAGGCACCAGGAGGACCACTGCTCCGGGCCCATTGCCTGGAGCAGGAGCTGCTCCCAGCCAGCTCTGCTCTGGGCTGAGGTGCACCAGGGAAAGCTGGAGCATCCAGAGGGCTGGGATGCAGGGGAAGGCACGGCTGTGGCACCCCTACCTGCCGCCTTGTGCCGCAGGGACAGCC